AACTGCGACGTGGCCCGGCGCGGACGTGCCGGCGGCGGACGGTGCCGGCGGTGGCAGGCAGTGATTGACAGTGGAGATCGATTGGGTTGCGGCTGGCGACGGCTGGTTCAGTGGAGGCAGTTGCCTTTCTAGGGTTCCCAGAAGACTTTAGGTCTCTTTGATTCTGGGTGCATATGAATGGAAGCCAATGAGAATGCCAACGTTTGGGCATTAGAGAAGGACCCATTCTAATTTTACTGGGCCAAAGTATGGAAGAACAACTTCTTTAGCTGTTATCAGAGGAAACCAATTTGTTGTTAGTCATGAAGATTCTAGGTGGCTCTTGTGAAAGACACTCAATTGATCTAAGGATCATAAGCATAAACTTGGCTACGGAAACTGGAGTAGGACTGTCCATTGAAGGTACAAAGGTACTGGTTAAAAAAGAGATTTTTAGGGGGCCACCGGCGGACAACAAAGACAGCGGAAGTAGATCAGACAAGCTCTAATACCAAGTGGAAAATAAGACTGATTTATTATTCTCAATCATAAAAAGTACATTTTGATACTCTCTATTTGTAATAATCTAATTCTCCTAAAAAGAGAAAGTAGGAAAGTAAAATAAAATAAAAGATTATATATCTATTTCCTCTAATTAGGAAGATTCTAAAGATATTATCTCAAATTACAACACAAATGATGTGGGACTTTCCAGCACGACTTTCCAGCACCACTCATCCACAGATGCCTACCAAACAAAGCTGGCCTATCAGAATAGACAACTATCAAGATGAGTTAAGAGGCTTTGATACCATGCTATATTTCTACTTAAAACTGACTGACATTAAGTAGAGTTGTCCAACATATATATATATATATATATATATATATATATATATACACACACACACACACACACACACATAAGTTTCACTCCAAGAATTGAGGTAGGCGATGTGGGACTTCTCAACAGTTAAGGACCAACCAATCCATAAAGTTTAAGCTATTAATTGACCTTTGAATAATTTTATATCTTTAGTGAACTTCAAACATTTATTGTGAGAACAAGCAACCATACTATTTGAAATGAGGCTGTGATACATGCGAACAAAATGGTATTGGAGTAAGCCTTTATCAAAAGTTACACAATATTGTTTTTTTCTGTTTATTTGAATTGTTTTGTTGTTGTATTGTAAAGCCATTCATTTGCATTTCTCTCAACAGCTTAAGCTCTTATGATAGTTGGCTTTTTGACACGATATTGGGACCTCTCAAACAATGTGATATTGGCTCTTAGGATAGTTCAGTCCTTACCACTCCCCATTCTTCCTACCAAATTTAATGACTTAGCAGAAGGTAGGCTGGCTTGTCTGTAATCTACATTCTACTCTCCAAGCCCAAAAGGCTAATGTGGTGCTGTGACAGGGCTCAATAGAGATGATACATGAAACTTTTCATGTGTTTCAACTTAAAAGTTTCTGATTCTGGAATAGTCTGTAGAATATAATGAGATATAGCCTCTACTGTCATGCCCATTCAAGACTTGCCTTGATACTATTTCTTCAATTACTAAGAATAAAATTAACGTATTTGAACAATGTAATGTGCACATTTCATGTTTTATCTTTAATGGAGAAGGCACATCAAAATCTGTTTTGATTATATTTGTAGGGCTCGCTATGAAGATGCAAAGTTCTTTTATGAGATGGACACTCGTAAGAGGTTTACAGAGTTCCGAAAACAACTGAAAAACATTCTATTTCATGTAAGTTACAAATTAAACTTTTATTGAAGTGCTTGTAAGTAAATCTCATACTAACCAAAATATATATAAAATAATTCTTCTTATTTGAAAATTAAATAAATAGGCATTTATCATTTTCCGTTACTCATGTTTTTTTCTAAATCAGGTCAAATATTGATTCACTGTTAATAATGAGAAGGAATTAAGGGAAAGTCAGGAAATAAGACAATAATAGTTTTATGTGAAAGTTGTTGAAAATATATCTCTTAACCTCTCTCATCTTGCTTGTTTGAATAACACGGTGAAACAGGAGAAGCTTGGGACCATGCTTGATAAGATGACTCGTGTTGAAAACATGGTTGCTGAACTAAGTTGCATCCTAGATATGAGTGAAGATGTGCAAGATATTATCCGTGATGCTGCCTCTCTTGCAATGTCTGATCTTTCTACTGCAGTTGTCACTGAATTTACCTCACTTGCGGGAATTATGGGCCGCCACTATGCCCTTAGAGATGGATACTCAGAGCAGGTTGTTTAACTTTGTTCTGCCGTATTTGGTTATCTGAAATGTCATGATTTACCACTGCAATATTTAAAACTTCATTGCATCATGTTTGATTGGTACTCTCATAATTTTTCTTTTCCTTGTCACTTATCATCTTGCAGATTGCAGAGGCCTTGTTTGAGATCACGCTTCCTAGATTTTCTGGGGACACGCTTCCTGAAAGTGATGCCGGCATAGTTTTGGCAATTGCTGATAGGTGGAGCTGACGCCAGAATTTAAATCTCTTGCCTGTTCATTTTAGTGATAATTCAAATTTACAGTGATTTTAATTGGAAGAATTTTTAGATATGTGCTGACCAATCAGATTACTATTCAAAACAAAACAAAAATACTATGGGAAAGATTACAAAGAAAAGTAAGGATAAGAATAAGATCAGTAAAAAGCTTGTCTATTCTAAAGTTTCTAGAATTGATTTATTCTAAAATATCCTAATAACTTCAACAATAGAATTTTCCTTTATCTTGACTATAACATTGACAAAAGAATCAACAAAACTGTCCTATACTTTAGGGAGTCCTGTTTCTGCTAATTCCTTGGTGTTCTTATTTTTACTATTGAATGTTCTTCATTGCAATGTGAAATCAGTTTATGGTGCATGTTATAGTGGAATATGTCCAAATGATATTGACAACATAGATCTGAATCTTATGAGATATGATAGTTTTCTGCAGATTAGATAGCCTGGTAGGTTTATTTTCTGCTGGTTGTCAACCTAGTTCCACAAATGATCCATTTGGTCTGCGAAGAATTTCATATGGTCTTGTAAGTATAACATACATTTGATCTGTCTAATATTTGTTAAAGACTTAAAGTATTTCCTTTTATATCGACACTCCCCTTCTGCCCCCTCCATCCCTCCTGCTAAAAGCTTAAGCAGAAAATCTATAAACACAATTCCTTGGACTCAGAGATGCACTTTATACTCCAGGTGCAACTATTGGTGGAAAAGAATAAAAATCTAGATTTTAAAAAGGCCCTGGAACTTGCTGCAGAAGTCCAGCCCATTAAAGTAGATCCTCGTGTAATCGATGACGTAAGATGAGAGTATTTCATAAATTCAATTTCTGTTGCTTCTTGTGATTGAAATCTCATGAGACAGTTTTCTCTTTCTTTAGGTACTTCACTTTGTTACACGAAGATTGGAGCAATTTCTGGTAGGTATTATGATCATAATATTTGGTCCTTTTCTTTACTACAATTAAACTTTTCATACCGTTATCTTTTACCGTAAGTATTTTTATTTGCTTCTTTATGGCCAAATTAACTTCAGTTGTTTTTCACATTTCTCTTAGCAAAATAAAGTATGCCTGGGAAGAGGAGGGTGCAAATGGTTTGATTTTGATTTTTTTTTTTGGGAGAAGAAAATGTCTTGTATAAAATCTAATTCATATTTACTCATTAATTGCTTCTCATTTAAAACAGCAAGGACTTTACACATAAACCAGTTACTAGATATTTATATTAAGTATCAATGTGTTGGAGCTTATGCATGTCGATGATTGTACGGATTAGGGAGAGAGAATCATTAGCACCGGTTATAGGAGGTTTTGAAATGAATCTTTATTGCAGTCTTGCAGATAAAAAATTTAATTAATGACCGCTTGGTATATTCTTTCTTTCTTGGGATAACCACACTACAAAAGCTAGTCACTGTAGTTGGCAAGCCCAACACCTTATAAACGCCACACAAAAATCCACGCTTCCAATGTTGGACTAAGTCCCATTTCTTTCTATTGGATCATAACATCTTGCCAAACACTAGTATCCAAAAATTCTAATGTGGGACTCAAGTTCTATACCATGTTACTGGATCCTAACTGTATCATTACTATAGTCGAAAACTGATGTTTTGCTCAGCAGATATTATTCAATGATATATTTGAATGTAGAACATGTCGTAGTCTTGTTGTATTTGTGCATAATGCTTTGTAATGGTCTCATGAGTTTTAACATGTTGCTACAAATTAGAGATTAACAATGACTAGAAATATAGTCAAATTATATTATATATATAAGTAAGTTGTAAATAGCCGGGTATTAGGATAAAAATATCCTCAACATCTCAAGAGTGGTTAAAAGAAGTTATCTTTAGAATCTTCTTACTTAAGGAGTTTGATTGTTACAAATAGAGGTGATGAGAATGTGATTGGTGTGGTTGTCACCACTAAAATAATTCCCCTTCTCTTTTACATATTCAATGTTTGGTCTCATGTGTGAATACAAACCTTACCTTATAAGTTAACTTTATGAGGTTAAGTTCTAAATCCGCTTTCTAAGATAGTAACAGATCCTATTCTAACAAGGTTTGTTAGAACTTATATCACTCGAGGCCTCTCACAAATATCTAGTCCCATGCTCAGAATGTTTCATGAATTGATGTGTTAGAGAGGTCCCTCATCGACTATAAATATGATTAAATTACAGTATATAAGCGGGTGTAAATCTCACCTTATTAGTGGGTTTTTGAAATAGAGTTAGACCTAAATCCACATTCTAAGAATATTTTGGTAATAGGTTGACAAGGGGGTGAATGCAGAGTTTGTGCGGTCAATCCTTGTTGAAAGAGCAAATTTTCCCTGTCTTGCAGCAAAATCAGCATATAAAGTAAGTATCCCTCTTTCATTTTACTCCATATTTGATATTGCATTGATGTGTGCTCAATTGATTTCAAAGTCTGTCTTGAAAGTTTCAAGTTTAGAGTTAATCTCTTTCCTTGATTCCTCAATCTAAATGATTTCGAATGCAAAAATGCAAGCAATTAGGGATCATCTTTTGTATGCTCTTTGTAAGCACATCCAGGACTAGATTAATGAGTCCTATGTTGTAGGAAAGTCCTTAGTCTCACTTCCGACATTTTTTTTCTCTAGTAGTTATTTCTGTCAAGCATGTATTACAATACATGCTTGATATATCTAGACTATTGTATAGTCTAGATATAAGTCACACGAACACTTTTATTTTTTCAAAGTCTTCCATGACACTTTACTTGACACTCAACTGTAAGTTGTTTCTAAGCCAATAGAAAACGTGTAGATCTCTTTCTTTGGTTTGGTATAATTTCACCAGTCCCTGTTCAAGATAAATAACTTCTGTTGTAGACTTTTGGTATAAAACAAAATTGATTTTCCATAGTCCTGGTATCTTAATCTATGCTTAATCAGCTTTGTCCTAGTATCTTAATTTGTACTCGATCAACTCTGCCCGTAATTTCGTAGTCTGAATTATAAGTTTTATCCCTCTGTAGTTCACACTTCTGAATGTCTTCCTTGTTCATAATTATTAGAACCAAAATGTTCTATTATTTTATTTTATACACACACACACGTATTACTTTAAATTTTAGATATTCTAGTTAAACTATTCAAATAATAGAATTTTAATTCAGCTCAAATATGGAATTCCATATCTCAATTCTTTGTTCCAAGTATAAAGAATTAATACTCTTAATTATACAGAATTGGAATTGAAATTAGAATTATCTAAACCACAATTCAAATTCTTTCCTCCGAACAGACCTTTAGACATGTCTTAGATTCTTGGTTTAGCATTTCAATGTTCCAGTTGGCAGGGATGCAAATTACAATTTATATAGAAAATTAACTGTTCATATGTGGAATTGAGGACCAAATTTGACTGTAATATGAGTAGTCACGTGTTTCTCAAATATGGGAAATATTAGGTTTGCTAAATGATGTGATAACCACAAGTCTTTAGTACTTTTGAATAGTAATTATGTACTCCTGATTGTTTACAATGTTGTTTTAGATGGAAAAATTGTCAAGTGGGAACCTTTTTCCTAAAGTTGTTGAAGCATACTCCCGGCCAACTAGAATTGTCCGTGGGAAGGAAGTTGAACTTCATGCGGAGGTATGCATCTTTCTTATTTTATTGTAAACATACAGGGGGTAACCAAATTACTGTCGAATTTGAGTTAAGCATAACATAAAAGCCACCAGATTAAAAAAATAAATTTAAGAACTGAAAGAGAAAGAATTGTGGTTAAATTTCGTTGGTAAGATCTGAAAAGTACCATTTGTGGGGGACGGGAAGAGGGGAGGGCGCATGTTCGTGTGTGGCCCATTATCCGTTACACTAGCTGTAAAAATTACTTAAATAACATTTTATTGAAGGTAAATGTCATTAATCTAACAGTTGAGTTCATGATATTATCTTAACGATCATGTATATTAAATTTCACATCATTCTTTTATTATTGTGTTATCTTTTTTTGTAATCAAACGAAAGAATGCTATGGCATCGCTACACGATACAAACCTAACTATATACAACCTTCTTAGAAATAGTATAAAAGAGAAAATAAGTACAGAAATAGGGGTTATAAACATATTTCTCCCATAAACCATTTATTTATGAGTAGTTTCTGCGTTTCTCTTCAACTATGTCCATTATTTTGACATTTATCTTCTCTTGATTCTTAAACTTACATGATTAGGTGGATGAGGCTGCTTTTGTGACAAATGAAGAGAGAGTTTTATGGAACACGTTTTTGTCTGTTAAAAAGAGTATCCATCCTGGTATTTTTTTTCATTATGCCCCGCAATTTTTGCGTTTATAGTTGATATTATCTACTGATATAGTGTTAGCTTTTATTTTATCTACTTAATATAATTTTCTTTTAATTTGGCACTAGATCTAATATAATTAATTTCTGAAATTCTGAATTACTGATATATTGTGCGCTTTTTAACTTCCAACACACCCCCTTCACGCCGAGGTATAGACATCTCGTGCGTGATAGTAGAAATTGGGTGGTCCGATAACGGCCCAATAGCGGGTGGAATAGAAGAATAGAATGTTCACTTAGAACTCGCTAGGATAGGCACTAACCATGGCTCTGATACCATATTAGAAAGTGGGTTTTTAAGCCTAACTCAACCCCACAAAACCGGCTTGTAGGGTGAGGTTTGCACCTCACTTATATATTATAATTTGGCCTTATCTCTAGTCGATGTGGAACTTCCAACACTTTTACACATTTCTGAATTTCTTTTTCATTTTCTTTATTATGATTATGATACTTATTTTTCTTTATACAGGTCTTGACATAGATGATTTTGTAGAAACTTCATGTCAGTTGATACAGCCACTTGAGGATTTCTTCAATAATGTCTTTGTAATGGTGGTACGTTAATCTTGCTGTACTTGTATAATTCCATATCTGGCGTTAATATATTTGTGGCGACTCTTAATAAAAGCACTTTAATAATTTTCGATGTTAATTGAACGATCAAGACTGATTACAAAGCTGATAAAGATGAAATAAGTCCAGGAATAAAATTTGTTCAGAAATATTAGGGCATGATATTGCAGAGCTTTTCTGTCAAAAGTTATTCATGGTATAAAATTATGATTTATCTTGTAGTTTCTTTGTGCTTTGAACTGTAAACTCTATCATGTATGTTCTGCAGTTTGAGTTCCATAACCATAATATAAATAGTATATTTTTCTTTCTGGTGAATCATAGGACGATGACAAGATCAGAGTAAACAGGTTAACTTTGCTAAAAGGAATTGCTGATCTTCCTAAAGGAATAGCAGACCTCACTGTTCTACCTGGATTTTAAGGATTGGTAAGAAGATTATTTCTTTCTCAGGAAGACCATATTATTTTTTAGGCTCGAAAAGTGCTTCAGCAATTAGGCTTTATCTATTTTTTTCGCCCTCTTGCTTTTTCTGGTCGAATTTTGACACACTGGTTTAACAGTTTCTTTCAATCCATGAGTCTGTAAATTTCTGTAGCAGTCTATCGTATGACGGATTTGTAATATTCTTCTTCATAGATGTAATAAAAGACAATGTACTTTTTTTAATACTCGAATATATCTTTTTAATTGTACATCAATTTTGTGTTTATTACTTTTTATTGGTACTTGCAAAAATACGTAGAGCAAGTCTTCACATTTTTATCAATAAAGTTTTCAAAATATATATAATTTTGTAAAAGTAGTATTAGAAAACATCTAAACAATACAAAATAAAATATATTTAATTTTTGTGAGAATGGTACTAAAAAATGTATGTAATGGTTATTTTAAAGTGAAGTTATTTACTTATTGTGGTGTATGGAGAAGTTTAATTACTTATTTTATTAAATAAAGAAGTTTTTTATAATTTTTAGAGGTCAAATTATCTAATTAAAATATATATTGAATTTTTTTTAAAGTGTATAAATTTTTTATATGATGATATGGATAGTAGTACGTATTTAAAAATATTTTGGATTGCATTAAAATCAAGAGGCAAGTAATCGCGACATTGGCATTAATGTAATTATTATAACTATTTTAACTAAATTTTGTTAAATTTATTTAGGTTTAAACTCTCGTTTGGTGCTCGTATTTGTATGTCAATCTCAAGTGGGTTATCGTTTTTTTTTCAATCTCAAGTTCTTGCATATTTTTGTTGTGATGGTAAAGGAATGGTATAATTAGAAAAATTTTATTTCTCGTCTTAGTAGTAGAAGTGTTGCATAAGAGTTGGTACCAAGGAACTTTGAAAATCAATAATAATTTTCTTAAATAAATCAAAGAGGAATAACAAACTAACCAATATTTATGAGACATCATAAAATAGAAGGAATAAAGTAAATGACAAGGTGTATAAAAGTAAATTGATTTTATCCAAGATCAATTAGGATGTATCAAAACTTATGACAAGATTTATAGTGGTAAGGAATGAAAAAGAATATATAGATTATATATCCAAATGTCTAAAATGCAAAAAATCCAAAGTCAAATATCAACATTCATTAGAAGAATTACAACCTTTAGAAATCCCATAATGTAAATGGGATAATATTTCAATGGGTTTTGTTTTTGGCTCATAAAAAATCTAATGAATTTTTTTCATAATATAGGTGATTGTAGATAAACTTGGGAAAGTCGTCTGAAAACACTGGAAACCAAGACAAATTTTAGCTTGACATAACATCCACAAACAGAGAGAACAATTCAACCTACAAAAGATTTGTTATAGAAATGTGTGATAGAGCAACAAAGAATTAAGATGATTGTCTTCCATCAGTCTGAGACTATCGATCGTCTGATACAAGATAGCGACTCCCTTTGGCCTTGTGCGCGAAAAGGGAGTGCTCGGGTATTGAACCTTCTTTGTATGGGGTGATGGTGTTTGCCTTGTCCTTGTGTGGCAGGAAACATGTTCCTTAGCCAGGATGACGAGACTACTCGAGCAGACCTGTAGGGGAGGCTATAGGGGACTTGTAAAGGAGGCTACAGGTTTGTGAGGTAAGGTACAAGAGTGTGACTGATTCTTTACACTATGGAGTCTTGGTATTGTGAAGGTTCATGGTGTTATTCATGATGAAGGATTCATGATAAGTTAGTTTTGATAGAGGTGCATGCGATGATGATTTGTAGTGACGATGTGTTTGGAGATGATGTTGATAAGGATGACGTTGATGGTATAATCATGATATAGTTAATGAGGATGTTGATGACGATCATGGTGTATAAATGATTCTATTTTAGGATAACACTGTAAATGACTATTTGTTATTATGTTGTGTTTGCTTCCTATGTACAGATTTTATTGTTATTGTGCTATGGTAGCTTACCCATATTTGTTTGTGTTTGTTTTTGTGCATGTCTTTTGATGATCATATAACTTTTGGTTATACGGGAGCAGATGTTGCAGATGCTCCAAATGTATGATAAAGACGCGATAATGGAAAAAAGATTGGTGTTATTTAAAGTTTTTGTACTATTTAATTAGATTTCCGCAATGGTACTATAATTTTAAAAAATTTTAAATTTCACTCCTATTCGGGACATCCCAAAAATCGAGGTGTTACATAGAGCTTCAACGATCATTTTTCAGAAGTTTTTGGAAAGAGTTGAACTCAAAGAACACAAAATATGAAAAAAGGAGTGGCATACAATTCAGTCTTACATTGTTATGCAAAGTTGATCAAATAGTCATTTAATGTGTTGATATCAAGTGGTCAAATGTGTTCAAAAAAGTACTTGTGAAACTATTGTATTATTCTTCACATTGTGAAGTTTTTGCTTATGAACTTAAATCGTACTCTCTATTGAGAGCTTTTCTTTTTGTTTTTTAGTGTTCTTAGGAGGAGATTAAGAAAGTATAACTTAGAGAGGCTTCGGTACTCATGTAACTTGTAAGACCTAAGAAAAATGTAGTAAATAAGGAATTAAGGGATTTAAGTTTTGAATGTTATTATTCATAATTGGTGTGAAGTTTAGGTATTTCTTAGAATTATAATTGTTATGTTAATCATTTCATGATATAGTTTATAAAGTGCAACACATGATTGGTATGCTGGTAATTGAGTTATTTGCGTGATATTATCAATGTGATGTGTTGACTTTTTAATGGAAGGGGTGATTTAGGATTGAATGAGTGTGTGTTCAATTATAGGGAGAAAGTGAGTTAAGGGAAGCCTTTGTTTTATTTGTATTTTTTCTTAGGGATAAAATGATCTTTTACCTTTATTTAATTGGTGAAGAAATTAAATAAAGGGGTGTAGGAAGTAAAAGTGTGTAAATAAAATAAAATAAAAGATATATGGTGGATGTGAGATAGAAGGAGAATAGAGATTTAGATAGATTTGGTTTTTAAAATATATTATTATAAGTGAGAAGATATTAGAGATAAAGTTTGGTTGTTTTATAAATATTAAGATACAGAAAAAGGGGTGACATTTGTGTTTTAGAAACCCTAGAAAACTATAAATCAAAGAGAGAAGCAAATGAGAGATAGACGTTTGGGAGAGAAGAGAAAGAACAACAAAAACCCTTAGTGCAAAAGAAGATTGGTGGTGTTTTAGAGTTATAGATAAAGCTTTAGGATTGACTAAGGTATGGGGGAAGCTTACCTATGTTTGTTTGTTGTTGTATGTCATGTATTTTTATTATCTTGATTGGTTAATTCTAGTTTTGATGCATGTGTGAATAATTATGGATATGATTATCTATGGTTGTTGTTGGGAAATGATTTGTGTATGCATGAGAATAAGATTTATGTCATATTATGATGAACTTTCCCTATGAATGTATGTATGTTTTTGTTAGGTTATTCCATAATAGGGTTAATGCTAAGGGGGAACAAAGTTATGGTATTGGAGTTTTACCATTTCAACTCATGATGTAAAGATAACATGATAAATATGTGTAGTGTTTTTGGGTTTGTTGGAGATATAATATGTGTAGAGATGGGATTGGATGAATCAAAGGATGTAAAATATGTGTTTGAGCGTGTTTATAATGGTCTGTGATGGAATGCATGTATGATGTCTTAAGCATGTTTTCACATGATTTAGGATTAATACATGAGGGATTGAACCTTAAGTTTTGGTCTAGGAATGTGGTTATTCGTGGGAATAATCGATTATCTAGGATCATAATCAATTATCCCTTCATACGTGTTGAATTTTGGTGTTTTGTTGTATGGAACCACTAAGATAATCAATTATCGTAAGTGATAATCGATTATCACAAAGTAGTTTTACTAGAAACAATCCGTTTTGATGAAGAATGAACGTGGATCAAGCTTGAAGAGTTGTGAAATGTGATGATAATCAGATAGTTAGATTAATGGTTGTGTTTGTTATTAAAATGTCTATATATTACAAAACTTTATCAGAGAAAACAACTTTGAAGACTGCATGGTCAAACCGTAAAGCTAGAGATTACAAAATCTTTTCTCGCAAGTGAAGGCATCGTTTTCATGTTCTTTTATTTTATTCTCTTGAAACGGTTTTTGACTAGCATCCCTTGTGGGATTGATTCGCAAGTTTCGAACCTAGGCAGTTGCATCATGCTCTATAAATAGAGCACTTCATTCACTCCAAAATACATCATCAAAAATCACTCTTCTCACATTCTCTCTTCTCTTAGTTTCATTCTTTCTTTTTTCTTCTTACTAAAATATTTTGGGTTTATTTTATATTCTTTTTAGAGATTTTTGCTAGTTCTGATATCCTTAGAAAATTCTGAGAAGTTCCTATTGTATCATGGGGGGGCTTGCACAATACATTGCAGATAAGTCCTTAAGGATAATGATCTACACGCCTTGTAAAATCCTTTGTTCGTGATCTTTATTTTTTTATTGTTAGCTTTTCCAACAATGTTTAGGGTCAGTTTTGACTTATGGTTGAGATTGGAGCATGGGTGAGTGTTAGGGTGTACTTGGGTGTGTGGTTGATGAGCATGAGAGTGAGAGATAAGTCTACTTGTTGTACCTAGTAAATCCTGGTTTTTATTTGTGAATAGGTATTGTTTGTTTGGGTATTAAATCTTCCTTTTGTGGGGGTAATAGTGGTTCCGTTATCCTTGTGTGGCAGGAAAGCATGATCCTTAGTTGGATTGTGAGATTACTCGATTGCATATGCATATTGTTCTTATGATTGTTTTGTTGATAACTTACCCTATACGTGTTTTTCTTTGTGTTTGTGAATGAAATTATCGGCGATGATTGTATGATGCGTTATACGTGAGCAGATGATGTTACAGATGTTTTAGAGACATGATAGACTCGAGAGAGGACTAGAAACAAATTTGGGATTTCAATTAAAAATATTTTGTTTTACAAGTTAAGACAATATAATTTGAGTTATTTCCTTCGTTATTTTATTATTCGAAACAATATAATTGGATAAGGTTTTTATAATTATTATGTTTTGAATAAATTATGAACGTTTAAACGTTAAGGTTTTTGAAAAAGTACCTTTTTGCACTATGATAAATTTTGAATTTTACCGGTTTTGTAATAACCCGTGACATTCCAAAAATTGGGGTGTTAGATAACCTAGAGAGTTGGTGAACTCGTTGTAAT